CAGGTGGTCTGGTGGCAGTGCAGGTTCTTAGGGATTGGATGTCTGGAAAAGATTTCAATTCTCCCTCACTAATGAAGCTTAGTTTGGCTGGGTAGGTTATTCTTGGTTGAAATTGTTTCTCTTTTAGAACTTTGAAGATAGGGCTCCAGGCTCTCCTGGCCTGAAGGGTTTCTGTGGATAAATCTGCTGTTATTCTAATTGGTTTTCCCTGGTAGGTAGTCTGGCCTTTTTCTCTTGCTGCCTTTAGGATTTTTCCTTTCATAGCTACTTTGTTTAGGCAAATTATTATGTGTCTGGGAGTTGGTCTTCTCGTTTGTTGTCTTGCAGGGGTTCTCTGAATCTCTTGTGTTTGAATTTTTTCATCCTTAATGAGATGAGGGAAGTTTTCTTGAATGATTTCATGAAATGTTTGTTCCAGTGTGGCTTCTGTTTCTCTTTCTGCCTCAGGAAGCCCAATTATTCTTAGGTTTGGTCTCTTGAAGTGATCATTTATCTCTTGCAGGTTTTGTTCTGTCTTTTTGAGCTTCTTTTCTATGCTTTTGACAGTTTGGGTTAGTTCTGTGTTTTGGTCTTCGAGCTCTGAGATTCTTTCTTCGGCTTGGCTGATTCTGCTTTCCCATGCTTATTAGTCTGTTGTTCATTTTTATCACAGTATTCTTTACTGCTGTCATTTCTGACAACAGCTCCTTCCTATTTTCTTCTTGTCTCTCCTCAATTTTTAAAATTCTCTCCATTAATGTCTTGATGTCTGGGTTTGTTGCATGTAACCAGTCATTCTGGGGACTCTTCATTGTCTGTGTTCCAGAATCTGTTTTCTCAGTGTCTGATTTCCCAGGGGTCTGTGTAAGACCTATATTCTTCTTTTTTTGGTTTTTCTTCATTTGTGCAGTTTTTCCCCCTCTCTACTTTTTCTCTCCCTCCACGTCACCGTCTTCTTTAATTCTTTTATTCAGGGGTAAAGGGATTGGTTTTACTTCTGTTTGTTCAATCTCCTATTCTTTATGTATGTCCTCTTACTTTGTTCAATTCTGAAGTTGCACTGTAGGTTGGAGGTGGTCCTTTTTGCAGTTTTGAGATGTACTTAAGGGGAGAGCTATGATTCAAAATCTGTCTGCAGGTCCTGATATTCACTGACAGGCGTGTGGATAATGCGGAACCCACTTCCCACTGCCCTGGAATCTGTCCGTGCAGTGGGGCCGTAGGTTTACTCCCTGAAATAAAATGTGGTTAGCAGAGGGGAGAGAATGGAGCAGATAGTGGGTTGAAGAGGGGAGTGGAGAGATAGAGGATTAAGGGGGGAAACAAACGAGTGTGCCAACAAATAGAGAGAGAAGCCTATACTGAAACATATAAAAACAATAGACCACAGCTACAGTCGAACCAACTCTCATACAAACAAAAATAAAGCATATAGTGATGCTAATATACAAGCTAACCAACCACCTTGTTAGTGTGCTGTTCCTCTATACAAAGATATGGTTTACAGAGAGAAGAAAAGAGAAGAAAAGGAAAAGGAAAAAAGAAAAAAGGGAACAATGCAGTAGGAATAGAATTAAGTCATTAAACTGATAGAATCAATGAAGCACACTCTGAGACATTTCGTTTAAGTCCAATGTCCTTTCAGGTCTGATTTCTAGTTTTCTTTTCAAGCTGGTAAATTAGTTTGCAGTTAGAGTCAGTTGCCCCTGATCTGCAGTGAAGGACAGTTCAGATTAACCTTCCTTCAGCAGTTTGGTCTATGTCTTTATCAAGCTTGTTTCTCCCGTTTCGGTGTTGTTACCTTG